TTTGTAGATTTTTTAAACAAAATTGTAAAATGGCATCTTTAATAGTTTAAAAGTTATTTAATCTTTAAAAAAATATAAAAAATTGAGGTTAGCGGTGTGAACTCTACCGTGCAAAACTAAAATATCGAAACTTGTTTTTTTTAATTAGGTTATGTTGCCCCTTAAGTTTCTCCTTTTTAAAAATATAGATATTAAAATTATGCAAATTTTGATCCATGGAAGGTAGACATAATTATTTCTATCAAATTCAAATCAAATTTTCCACAATTTTAATTTCCATGTTTTTTAAAAGAAGAAACATAATGGGCAACATAACCTATAAGTAAAAAAACAAGTCATGGTATTTCAGTTTTGCACGGCAGAATTCATGCCGCTAACCCCAATTCTACACCCAGAGAAATGATATATATTTGTCTCAAAGCCTAAAAAATCTTTATTTGATTCAAATAAATTTTTATTTGATTTAAATAAAAAATTTTATTTACGACAAATAAATAGGCTAATAGGCTGTAAGACAAATATACGTTCATTTAACTCAAATATATTATATTTGGTTCAATTAAAATATTTCTCTGGATGTACCTGCTCTATTTTTTAAAAATTAAATAACTTTCAAATTATTAAAACTGCCATATTATAATTTGTTATACAATATCTAAAAAATTGAAGCTATCGTTGAAGATATTTTTAAAATGGTCTAAGTATATGAAAAATTGATTAAAATACAATTTTTAGTCACAGAAATTTGCTGTGACTGGGAATTTTTTGCTGACACAGCAAACTTTTCTCGTTGATATAGTGACAGCAAATAAGTTTGCTGTGGGATTTAATTTTTCGATTTATTATTTTTACACATCACAATTAACTTTTTAGTAGCTTTAGCAAACATTTCAGTTGATGATAGCAAATTTTTTCAAAAAACACTCTTTAGTATATCTGACACTATAATTCATTTTTTTCCATGTAGAAATTATATAAATGGGTAAATCCACGAAACTTTTAACTTTCAAGAAAAAGAAATTTCTTTTTTTAATTTGCAGGCACATTGATGTCACTTTGTATACACGTTTAAGTACATTTTAGCACTACAAATTTATATGCGTGATTCATTTTTAGCTCACGCCGTCAATGTTTAACTCTTTAAACTCTTTAATGTTAATAAATTACATATAAAATTGGAAAATACAACTTTTTTTATTTTCGTTATCGGAGTGGTTTCCAAAATATTTTCGTCCTCTGAACACGATTCTGGCACCAAAATTTGCTTAGCACGTCTGGATTTTGAGAAAAGAGGGGGTAAAGACTCCAAAAAAGTGTTTTCAGCATATTCTTAACTTAATAAAATTGATTTCACTCAAAATCCTTAAGCGGCGTTTTTGTGTTCAAATATATGTGTGAGAATGTTTCGATCTGACCATAGATTGACCTGTTTAAAGCAAAAATGCAGTTGTGCCTTTCAAAAATGTATAGGGGAGATGTATGCAAGTTGAGACGGGGGGTTTTTTTTTTGGGAAATTGACGTAATTTTTTTTTGACGTAATAGATATTTTCATAAGAAGACGTTCAATTGAATTAGTTTAAAAAGTGCTATCACTCAATCAAACCTTCGTATTTTTAGTTTTAGTGGTGGCACACTAATGGGATAGTGAAAATTTTTTGACAAAATATGTCTGTTAGATATTTCCATAGTATAGCTGAAGTGATAATTTACACGCCGCAAAAATAAAAACGTTAAGAATATAAACTTATTCAAGAAATTCAAATGAAATTTAAGCATTTTTTCATTTTTTAACTTATAAAACTAATTGTCAAATAAATATTTTGTTCTAATACTGTACATAAATGTTCCTTTGTATATAATTTAGCAAAAAAAAAAAAAAAAAAAAAATGATACCCAAAGTTTTAATTAAAAATAATTTAGATTTTTAAGTATACGATTCGAGAATCATAAAAGTTAAAAGTTTCGTGAATTCGACCATATATACTTGTTTTATTTTGAAAAATTTCTTCTCATTGATGAACATTTTTACATGACATTTAGTATATGTGAACGGTTTAGTAATAAATTACAACTAACAAAAAATCATTTTTTGAAGTAAGAATTTCCCGTTTCTAGAATCGGGGACCCATCAAGGGCTCCGGGGCGCCTGTGACCGTGTCTGGATAATGTTAAAGCGATGAAAAAGAAGCGTGCTCTCTCTCTTCTTGTCTTCAATGCTCGCATCGTTGGTGGGAAAATGAATTGTTTTGTTTTGCCTCAACCCTATTTGACGAGGGATCAAAAACCACATAGTATTCAAACTAAGTGCAAGTGTATATAATATTAAGTGGCCACGTGTAGCCCGAGACTCGTCACTTTTTAATATACCTATTACATACGCGTATATATAAGTATAATATTATAAAGTTCACATATATATGTTAATTATTTTTCAGACTTTTATTCATTTTTTTCTTAACCCTTTTTTAAATTTATTCTTTCTATACCGTTATCTATATACACATTCGTGCGTCTTCACAAATTTTATTTAATACACTAAAAAATTATTTGATTCAAATAATCGGTTACTTGACTATATTATTAAATAAATATATTTATTTGTATTGAATATTTATTATTGTTTGAGTCAATTAAATTGTATTTGTTTCAAATACAGAAATTATTGATTAAAATAAAAATTATCTGGTTCAAGTAAATATTTCTTTGATAATAGTCCAAGTAACCGATTATTTGAATTAAATACATTATTTTTAGTGTATGTATGACATCGTATTTCTAAATGGAGATTAGGGATAAAAAAAATTATGTTCCTTCTCAACATACACACTTAGAGAAAAAATATATTTCCCTCAAAAGAAAATAAATATTTATTTGTTTCAAATAAATTATATTTGATTAGAATAAATTATATCTATTTCTTTCGAATAAAAAATTTCTTTATAGTGTACGTCATACACGCGGTATTGATTATTATTCGATTAATGAACAAATAATTATCGATAAACAATAATAAATTAATATAAATTACTTACTTACTTACTTTTATTATTAATAATAATAATAAAATTAATAATAAATAATAATTTTAATAATTATTTATAATTTACTGTATATTTTTAAAAATTTAATTGTAATATTAAAAAAATATTAAACTGAAGAAATATGTCTATTTTATTGTTTCACATTATTGCGACTTGGACGATTGATATATTTTTAACATCAAAATAATAAACCCAAAAATTGAATAAAACAATAATGTAAAATATAATAATAGGAAAATAAACATATTAAATAGCTCATTAACACTTAATTTCAAATCAAAACGATCTATCAATCAACGGCAGGCTTCTTTGTTTATAAATTTATGTTTTAATGATAATGGGATAAAAGGGGATTTAAATTTAATCGAATGAATTAAGCACTGTACTCGTTCTTAATGTAAGTCGAGATTGGTGAAATATCTTGTATAAAGGCGGGACCAAATAATATAATCTCCGCCCCGAGATGATTTCACGGCATGGCTGTCTAAATCGACGTCAGAGTTCAAATTTACATTCTCTCTCTCTTTCTCTCTCTATACATATATAGCGTGAAATAAAAAAAAAAAAAAAATTTTGCATGAAATTTTTTTTTTAAATCACTGAAAAATATCTATTTTTTGATCTTTTATATATATATACATATCACATTGTAACAGGTAATATAAGATAATAATATTCTTATCAAAACTTGTGAAAAAATTATAGTTATCTTCTTTAAAAGAATGATAATTGTCAATTATATAATAATTTCACAAGATTTACTATCTTGATAAAAAATGCCATGTGTACGATAATAATAAAACATTTTTTTCTGATAAACAAAATGCATTTTACAAAATGTTTCATTATGGTACTAAAAATTAATATTCGCGAATAAAATTTTTTTTTATTTTATTGTAAAAAGAAATAAAAATTTTAAATAATTATTTACTATAGATACCATCGTTATTATTATTATTATTATTATTATTATTATTATTTGATTGCGTACACTTTAAATTTGAATAAGTAAACATTTTAACTAATTTTAATTAGTGACTCACTTTTTGCTTTTGAATTAGTTAAATTTTATTTATTCGATAGTAAAAAATTTTTTTGTTAAGTACTATTAATTAGTTAAATTTTACTAATTCAAAAGCAAAAAGTGCGTCAATAATTCCATTTATTTAAAATTTTAATACTGAAAAAAATTTTTTTTTGATTCTCAAATACTTGATTACTTGACTATTTTATTAAATAAATATTTACTTAAACCAAATACCATTTAATTTACTCAAATAATAATTATTTAATAAAAATAAATATTTATTTGATAGTAGCAAAGTAACCGATTATTTGAATCAAATAATTTTTTTTTCAGTCTATACTAATTCAGATTTCGAGAGTAAACAAAATTTTTTTACTGAGATAAACAAAATTTAGAATAAATTGGTTTAAAAAAAATTTTATTTGTCTCAAACAAAATTTTTAACTTGAAACAAATATATATATATATAGTTAGTTAGCTCTGATGGGACAAATAATATATATTTAATTGTAATAGGTATTATATATTAGTATTAGAATATATTTAATTCTTGAATAAAATTTTTTTCTAAAATTCACAAACTCTTTTATAATTAAGTACATATATAGTCTTGAATGTATAAAAAAAATTGGATCATTTTATGCTGATGGGTATATAAATCCTTTGAGCGTCTTACATAGTGAATGTTATTTTTATTACTTTATAATCAATCGTAATTGGAGGACCACCATGATCAACTCGTGCCGTGATAAATGCACGGAGTTTTATACGATTTGAAATTCATCTTATGTATTTAAGTTGTATTAGTATAGTAATGTGATAGCATGGCCAACCCTCGTACACAAGCGCACGCGCATGATATTTTCTTGTTAGTTAAACCAAAACTTGTCTATTCAGAGGGAAGCCTAAAGTCATCACATTATACGCTTGTTCTTCGACCTGATCACTCACAAGTAAATTCACCCTCCGAGACGAGATTCAAATCTCTACCAATCAATACGATCTTGACAATATTGTTCCAATCAAATCGTATATTTATTTTTTTTTTCTAAACTCAAACTTAAATATTGTTTATTAATTTTAATAAACATTTTTTTATTTTTTTGAAGAAATTTTTTAAAATTTGAATTTAAGAAGAAATAAACATACAAAAATCTAGACAAAATTAAAGGATAAATTAATTAACTAAATGTTAATTAATAATTAATTAAAGAAATAAATTTTATTCTTTGATAGGTAATTTAAAAAAAAAACAAGTGTGCACTATGGGTGGCTATTTACAAACAATTAAGTGAATTTGACATTTTACAATTTGGAAAATTATTTTAAATAAGTTTACTATATATCAAGTTTTTGTGTAATTGAAGATTATTCAGAAAGTTGACGAAAAAATTTTGCGAAAAAAGACATTTTTTGAGAAAAAAAGAATGTGTTAGGATGTTGCCCACTTCGGTATCGGGAACACCTTTCAGTGTTCGTGACATTTTAAACGGAGATCAACAATTAAATACAATGGAGTGTTATACACCTCATCAACAAAGTGAAACGCAGACACATTCGGTGCATCAAGATTATTATTCATACAATATGATACCTGATGGCAATTGGAACGTTAATAAATACAAGGAACAAACAGTTACCAGTTATCAAAGCTATCAAGAAATGAACCATGTTCATCAATTGAGTCAAGTTGTGCCACCATATCATGAATCACCTGTTGTCGAAGAAGGTTCGTTAAAATCAAAAAATTAATATCAATTTCAGCAATATTTATATTAATTTAAATAGAATAAATTAATTTAATTGTAATATATATAATTATGTTAAAAATTTTAAATAATAATTTGTTAATTTTTTTTTTTTTTTTTTTGCATGTTTTTGTGAGTAATTTATATTTTTACACAATGAAGATTCATCAACAACGTATATTTATCGTTTTGTTTCATCACCTTATTGATCGATTAAAACGTTGAATATATATTGTTGATTAATTTCTGTTTTGTGGAAAAATAAGTGACATTAAAAAACATACAAAAAATACGTTATGACCTTTTTTCGACTACTTAATAATTTATTTTATATTATATTCTATGTATAAATATTATTATTTTATTTTTAATATTTTGTTTATTAAGGTATTTTCATTTTTTTTAATTTATTTTTTTAAAAATCGGATTTACATCTGGCTTTTGAAATTGTTTTTTACTCTATAAATTTGAATAATATATATATAGTGAAAAGTTAAAATTTGTACTTAGTAATTTCTCACTAAAACTTTAGTAAAGTAAATTAGTAATATTTTATTAAAAATTATTAAAAATTCTTGCTGATTTGAATAATAAGTATAGATTAATTTTCACTAATCAGATTTAGGAAGAAAATTTTCAATTTTATTTTAAATTTAATTAGTTTAACTTTTTAAAAAGTTAACACATTTTTTACTTCAATTTTTCTAATTTGAATAATAATATTAAACAAATAAATATTTTTATAATTTTAATCATTTGATGAATATTTCAGGTAATGTTGTCACATCAAGTAGAACTGAATTACGAAAAAATCAGTCGGGAAAACGAACGAAAAGAAAACCGCGAGTACTATTCTCACAAGTAAGTAAAAATGAATTTTTTTTATTCATTTATTTTTATTATATTATTAATTATTTAATAATTAAACTTTCCTATAAAATTTTCAAAAAAGTTAATTGTTTATAATTTATTATTTTGAATTTATCACTCAGCGGTATTTAATAATTAAGATAATGATATTGATCACTCCGAGTCACTGGTTAAATTAAAAAATAAAAGACACTACAATAAAAAATATAAATAAAGGTTTCTACCTTAAAAAAAACATAAAATAAAGAATAAAAAATTTCAAATAGAATTAAGACATTTTAAAAATTTGTTAATTTTGTAAAACGTCTAGATTCGTACAATCGCTAATAGACACTAATCAATTATTAAATTGTAAGACTTGTCAAGAAAGAAAATAAGATCATTAACCTTATTACACTATAGATACGAATAAAATGTATAAAAGTCGTCAAGGTATGATCAAAAACAGAAATAGAAGTCTTGTTTGATCATACCTTGACGTCTTTTATATTTATTCATAATTGTAATAAGGTTAATGACCTTGTTTTCTTTCTTGACAAATCTTGTAGTTTAATAATTAATTAGTGTCTAATTTAGCAAGTGTACGAATCTACAAGTTTTATAAACTAACAAATTTTTAATATTTCGCTTAATGTTATTTAAAATGTTTTATTCTTTATTTATGTTATTTTATTTTCAAGACAAAAACCTTTATTTATATTTTTTATTGCTGCGAAATTTATTTAAACATAATTTTTATGTAATTTTTATTAATTGTTTATATAATTTTTTCTTATTGCGGTAAATATTTTTTTAAAATTGAAATTTATGAAAAATTTAAATTCTAAAAAATTGGTCTTTCTTTTTTTTCCAGACACAAGTTTACGAGTTGGAACAACGTTTCAAGCATCAACGTTACCTGAGTGCCCCTGAACGCGAGATGTTGGCACAAAATTTAAAATTAACCAGTACACAAGTGAAAATATGGTTTCAAAATCGACGCTACAAAAATAAACGTGCACGTCTCGAGGACGCGGAAAAAGTACAAAATCAAAAAACCAGTCAACCAATAAAAAAAATTTCAATACCAGTACTAATTAAAGATGGAAAACCAAATGTACAAGATTCATACAATCCCTATTGGTCTAATTTTCGAACAGACATAAATACAAATATAAATCAAACAGATTTCAAAACAACAAATGATATTCGCTTAAGTCCTGATTTTCGATCGAATTCGAGTGAAATTAAAATCGAAAACAGCTTCTCGCCCGATTATCGAATTGACATGAATACAGAAATTGTTAATCGATCAAACATCAATATGAATGTTCATCATCGTCATGTTTTAGGTTCGGATTACAATAAAACTAATTTTTCATCAACGGAAATTCGTCCATCAATTGATACGGATGAAATGAAATCGATAAAAGCAACGGAATACAAATCTTATTTGGCAAGTGATTTATATTCAGAATCGAGAGCAATAACTGACGTCAAATCAATTGGAATTGATAATCGAACATTGATGGATTCATCTAACACAGACTATAACTATCCAAATTATTTTGGACCATCGAATTTTCAAATGCAATATGTCAACTACATGGATCAGATAAATGATCAAAATAATATTCAAAGACTCTGGTAGATGTATAAATATGAAATTAGTGATAAAAATCAAAATGAAAACAAATTGTGTGATGTTATCCGGTACATATGCTTTAAAAAAAAAATATGCTCATGTGAAAAGTAAGATTATTTTTTAATAAGAAAAAAACTTTTTTTTTTTAGGAACGAGATTGAAAATAAAATTGAATACTTTTATGATCGAATGTTTAATATTTAAATGATTAGAACTATATTTGAATAAAATTAAAGCAAAAAAAAAAATTTTTTTTTGAATAATCGAAAATTTTCTTTAATTTTCAATCGTTAATATTAAATTTATTGAAAAGGAAAATTTGCTTAAGTTAAGAAAATTTAATTAAATATAAATTTCAGTTTCCAAAAATTATAAATTAAAAAATATTTATATTACAAAAAAATTCGCAATATTTCCGAGATCTCTGTTCGTTTAATATAATGTATCAAATATTATATATATTTATTAGAATAATTTGGTCGTAAAGATTTATTTTATTTAATTTCACATTTCTGCGAGTCTCATTTTTTTATTGTTAGAGGGGAGAGGGAGTGAAAGGGGGATTATAAATTAAGTGATAAATGAACCAAAAAAGTGAGCCAAAAAAACGACAAATAAAATGTTACAACAAAAGAAGCCTTTGTAAATAGCAAATCTTTTATATATATATATATATACAATATATATTATTCATGTATTTTGTTTTTGTGAATATTGTTAAGCATTAGAAATATATTACCAAGCAGACCTCAGAAAAAAAAGATGGTGAAGTTCACAAAGTTAAACTTCACTACAATAAAAAAAAAAAAAAAAAAAAGAAAAAAAAAGCAGATGTTGTCTCTTTTCAGGGTTGATTTAACTTTTTTTTTCTTTTAAGAAAATTTAAAGTGCGTGGTACAAGAAAATTTCCAAACGGAAATTGTGCTTGAGATCGTAAGTGGCTTTAACGGAAACAGTTACATTTGAAATAAAAAGGCCAAAAGGAACACCTGTACTTTATTTTTGAAATAAAAATTCTTTGAAATAAAATGAAAAAAATTGTACAAATTATTAAAATATATATATATATATATATATATATATATATGTATATATTCTTTTGGCAATAAAGTCTGCATAATGAAAATTAATCTTATATTTTTGAAGAAACCCCTCTCGTTATTATACTTTGTCATTGTTTTTTTATCTTTATCTTATTTTTCAATTTTCTATAATTTTTTCTTATACTTTTCTAAAAACAATTTTATTTTACTTTTTAATATTTTTCCTTTGACATTTAATTTTCAATTGAATTACAATTTTTAAATAAAATTAATTTTTATTTATTAAAAATATTGAATTTTTTTCAAGAAAATCTATTTTTGACCGCGCAAAATAAGAGTGAAGAAATTTTTTCGATTAAATATATATTTTTCATTGTGAAATTATGCGTCAGGTATTAATGGGTGCGGGGATTGCAGGTTGCAAATATGCAAGGAAATCATATTTATAAATAGGTGATCAAGCTCTGACAGCTTGATCTAAACCACAGAGGCTTTTAGGTTATCTCGCAAGCACTGGGGGTCATCTGGCAGTCAAGAGGCACATATGAACATTCATATTGGATTCTTGCAAGCTGTATACATACATTATTATCACGTTCACGGTGCTACCGTTGCCATTAAGATCCATGGGAACTTGACGATAAAACTCTGACAGTCTATTTAAAAAAAAAAAAAAAAAATGTTTCTTAATTCATGGGCCGCGCGATTCTTTCAACTTTAAATTAATTGATTTATTTATTTAGTACACGGGTTTTAAAAAAACCCTTGAAGTATAAAAATATAAAAGATATAATGAGCAAATTAACGCACCAAAGCACTCTTCTACAACAAATTGTCATTGTTTTGTGATAATAATTACATATTTTTATACTTTAAACTACATAAAAACGTAAAATAAAGTAACCGGAGGATATAATAATTATTTTGATTAATTTTATTAATACTGATAATAATTATAAAAAACAATAATCAAAGAAAATTTTTCCAGAATTGAAATTCAATATGTTTATTTATATGCGATTCCAGGTGAGATTTTGACTTTTTCGGAGTAGGTTAACCGATTGCAATGAAACTTTGGAATTTTGTTATACATAGTAAGACTAATCTTTAACGTAAATTGCAGCTTAAAATATTTGTTAGTTTACGAGATTTGCAATAATAACAAAAAAATTTAAACTGCTATATCTTCCGTTCTAATAATCGGATTGAGGTCAACTTTTTTTAAAATGTCAAGGTAAATGAGAGGAATAAATCTCTTTCAGAACAATTTTTTATAATTTTAAAACTAAAAAAGTTATTTTAAGAATGATTGAATAAATTTCGCGCGGCAATCTAAAATTCATTCACTTAAACGCTAAAATGATCTTACCAGTGTTTTCTTTAATGTTCCAAAGGAATCCAATTGTAAATGCAAGTTTAACTTTGTTTATTTTTTATAATTTACTAGTATAAACAATTGCGATTTCTGCTAGTTGACGTGCAGACGACATTGCGCACGCAGCATAAGGTTATTCAAGTTGGGTGGGGGAAAGCAAAGATGGTTGCTTGCTGGTGCACCTATCAGCCTATCAGCATTCATTTCCACGAGAAATTTCTCGTGGGAATGAATGCTGATAGGCTGATAGGTGCACCAGCAAGCAACCATCTTGGCTTTCCCCCACCCAACTTGAATAACCTTATTCTCCTGTAACCAGCTGACGTGATTGGTGGACTAAATTGGCTACGTGAGAATGCTGCGTGCGCAAATGTCGTCTGCACGGCAACTAGCAGAAATCGCAATTGTTTATACTCGTAAATTATTAAAATTAAATAAGTTAAACTTTCATTTACAATTGGATTCCTTTGGAACATTAAAGAAAACACAGGTAAGATCATTTTAGCGTTTAAGTGATTGAATTTTAGATTGCCGCGCAAAATTTATTTAATTATTATTTAACAACTTTTTTAGTTGTCAAATTATAAAAAATTGTTCTGAAAGAGATTTATTTCTCTCATTTTCTTTGACATTTTAAAAAAAAGTAGACCTTAATCCGATTATTTTAGAACGGAAAAATATAGCAGTTTAAAATTTTTTGTTATTATTGCAAATCTCGTAAACTAACGCAATTATATAAATTTTATTTATGCTAACGAACTGTGGTCTCTAAATCTGAATTAGTAAAATTCTTCCTATTTATATTTGTTTTATTATAGGTACTGTCGAATTTCAGGCTAGTTTCATTGACAGAATCTTTTAGATTTATGAAATTAATAATTATAAGATAATAGAAAATATATAAATATTATGTCAATATTTATAATCAGCTTCACATGAAAATATTTTTTACTAATATGAATTTATACTTTTATATAGAAATGCGATTCTAAAATATAAACAATGCAAATAACTTGTGTTATGTACTTACAAAATCCTGGAAATTATCATTGTTTGACGTCATCAATAATAGAATGATCTTTTAATAAATTCAACATTTTAATATCTTCTTCAATTTAAACTGCACTTGACACTTTATACAAATAACACAGCCCCACAAAAAAAAAGTGTCGTTCGCGGCAGACCAGACTAGTCATTTCCTATGTATTTTGACGCGCTGAACACGAATCCGAAGTCCGTTTTGCTCCATCACGTCAGGATTTTTTTCTAACCTCCAAAAACCTGTCGGATTTTGAGAGGTAGGCTATTTTTTTTAAAATTGATGGATTTACTTCAAAATTGGTATCTAGGGGTTTTTTGGGTCGCTGATGACGAATTTGAAGTTAGATTTTCAAAATTCAAAATGTCGGCTCCAATATGTCGGACGAATTTTGTAAAAATTGATGGATTTACTTCGAACTTGGTATCTAGGGGTTTTTTGGGTCGCTGATTACGAATCTAAAGTTAGATTTTCAAAATTTAAAATGGCGGCTCCAATATGGCGGACGATATCGACCCTTCAAAGGTGATAATTCCGCCCTTACACACGAAACTAGGAGCAATTAAACAGTTTGTCAAAGCCTTAGATAAAAAAGGAAACTGTTTCAAATACCTGGAACAAAAGTTTCCAGAAATCTCTGATGCGAAACTAAAAGAAGGGGTTTTCGACGGACCACGTATTCACAAATTGTTAAAAGATGAGCAGTTTATCACCAAGATGAATAAAAAGGAGAAAGCCGCATGGCTTAGTTTCAAAGCAGTTGTCGAAAATTTTCTGGGTAATCACAAGAGTGAAAATTGGGAGCAAATAGTTAGTGATATGATTAAAAACTTTGGTAAGTTAGGATGCTTAATGAGCATAAAGTTGCATTACTTAAACACGCATCGGGATTAATTCCCTGAAAATTTGGGAGATTACAGTGAAGAACAAGGAGAACGATTCCATCAAGATCTGAAAGAATTTGAGCGTCGTTATCAAGGAAGATGGGATATAAATATGATGGCCGACTACTGCTGGATGCTGAAAAGGGATATTGTACCTGGAGGCACCAATTTGAAAAGAAAACCATTACACAGATCCTTTGAGGACAAAAGAGTGCGCTACCATAAAAAGACGTGAATACCTTACTTATGTATATAAGAATTTCCATTTCTAGTTTTGAAAATCTAACTTCAGATTCGTAATCAGCGACCCAAAAAAACCCTAGATACCAAGTTTGAAGTAAATCCATCAATTTTTACAAAATTCGTCCGCCATATTGGAGCCGCCATTTTGAATTTTGAAAATCTAACTTCAAATTCGTCATCAGCGACCCAAAAAACCCCTAGATACCAAGTTTAAAGTAAATCCATCAATTTTAAAAAAAAATAGCCTACCTCTCAAAATCCGACAGGTTTTTGGAGGTTAGAAAAAAATCCTGACGTGATGGAGCAAAACGGACTTCGGATTCGTGTTCAGCGCGTCAAAATACATAGGAAATAACTAGTCTGGTCTGCCGCGCACGACACTTTTTTTTTTGTGGGGCTGTGTAATTTTATACAACTTTATATAGAAAATAAAATATATATTCAGAGAAGCAGAAACCATTTGAGTCTGTACGATGTTTAGAAGTACCGATATTAAACACTAGGAGCACTACTTTCACGCGTCACGTAACTATTTCACTAAATTTTCAAATCATTATTATATTTATATATGTAGATTTTTTCAAAGAATTATTTTTGTTATTTAAAATAAAAAATATATATTATAAGTACAAAAGTAACATAATAATTATTATTTAATCAAATATTTAAAATTTATTAAATTAATAATTTGTATATTGAAATTATTGTAAAATTATAATTATATAATTGTATATAAATTATTATTTAAATATTTGTTTAATTAGATAGTATACACTGTAAAAAATGCATTTATAGTATAAATAAATTTATTTCGATGAACATACACATTTATTGTGATCCATTACTAGGTCATTTATTTATAATCAATCACTATTTTGTCAGGATTGAAATCTTATATGTTTGCTTATATAAATTTGCGTATGCGAACAAAGGGTGAAGTTATATGAATATAGTCGACGCCAAACCGAATACAAAGTAAGCTAACTCCCAATTATTTTTCCTTACTCTCAATTATTATTTTTTTACTGGGATTATGATCTATTCACGATAAGGTAGATTCCTTAAAAGAAGCATTACCATCTTCCGTAACGGCTTTCTTATGGTAACTTGTTTTTCCTGTCGGTAAATTTAATCTCCGAAAGCAAGCTACATTATCATATTGTATCATAAAAATAATATTTGTAGATAACAAAGAAATCTTTGCAGTTTGAAATCAATTTTCAAAAATAAAAAATATACTGAATATTTTAAAGTTTAATTAAAGTTTCTAGAAAAAGAAGTTTCTATAAACACGGATATAAAAAATATTAAACTTTAAATTGTTTCTCCATTTAATTTTTTTCAAAGCAATGCATAAAAAAGACTTTTAAACAATTTTGTTCAATTTTTTTTTGAAGTTTTTCTTCCTTTTATGTTAATAATTACTTATACAATATACTTAAAAAAAGTAAGTCTGTAAAAATCCG